AGGTGCGGGGCGGCTTTGAGGTGTAAGAGTCACCTGCAGGATTTGGGGAGCCAGACAGATGAACTTGAGCCAGGGACTTCCCTTCTCTGCGCCTCAGTTTCCTCCTTGGTCGGACAGATACACGTAGCTATCTCAGGGGACGATGGCGAGAATTCCATGAGAGAATTGGATAACGTGCCCGCACAAAGCCGGTGCTCAGCAGAGGACAAGGAGCCCCATGGGCCGGGCAAGTGAGACTTCAGTCTGTGACACTTAACATCAGCCGGCACCTCGGACCAGCCCCAGAGGGTGACACGGGCCTGCAGCTGCAGAGTGGTCAGCCGGGGAGGCTGTCACATTGCAGGAGCGGCTCCCTCCACCAGCAGCGGGCCGGGCAGAAACTCTAGCAAGTGCTAATTAGGTCAGGAGCCACCCGAGGGAGGGGAGGAATGCCTGGTTAATTACCGGCCTGCTCTGCAGGGGGCCGCACACCGGCCTACCTGCCGCCTGCCCTCCTCGCCAGAGCCGGGAGCCTCCGCCAGGAAGCCAGGCGGTCCTGGGACCGGACTGCCAGGGTGAGCCGGCCGCCATCTGGTCCCCAACTCCCCGCCTAATGTTTGTAACAGACCTGCTACCTAATTGCATGGTTGGGGAGCAGCCTTCACATCTTTCACACCTAATTCACTATTGTTTCTCTGGAAGCCCAGTCCTGCGGCTGGCTGGCTGGCTGCGGAGGGAGGGTTCTGCCCGTTTATGGGGCTTTCAAGCCCCGGGCATCCCAGGCCAGCCTTGTTAGGCTCCAGCTGGGCACGCAGCCCGAGGGCACCTCCCTTGCTTCCTGCACAAAGCCTGGCTTTCGGTGCCGTCCCCACAGCTCACCTGCTTGGCAGGAGTACCCCAGACACCGCCTCTCCTCGTTGTCATATCCTCCCCTCCCACCCAAACCCAAATCTCTCCCTGATGCAGGGGCCGGTCTCCCCATTCTTGCCTACGCGACCCCTTGAAACGCTAGGGCAAGAGCCCCTCTTTCCTCATTTCTGGCACTTGTTCCCATGGCGTCGCTGTGGGGTGAGGGGCAGAGGATGAGGGTCTGGACACAGGGACCTCAGCCCTCTCCTCCCTGCCCTCCGCTTCTTTGGGTCGGAGACGCAGATTTGGGAAGGATGCTAAGAGGGACCTGGCTGGTCACTGAAGTGGCTCCCTGGCCCTGAGCTCCCTGGAGGAGCCCCGACTCGCCACCTTTTCCACATCCCCTCCTGGTCATATTGCTGTCATCCCGAGTCATCGGTCATCTAACGAGCTCTGGCATTAACTCACAGGGTGCCCGGAGCAAGTCACTTCTCTCCTCTGCGTCTTGTTGCTACCTCCCTTGAGGGACGAGGGTGAAGGGAGAAGGAGGGAGAAGACTGAGTGGGTAAAACCCCGCGTGCGTCCCTTCCAGCTCTGCTGGGCAGGAATAATCCCCAGTTATTTGCTCTGCTGTCTCTCTTGAGCAGCAACGGCCCCTAAGGCAGACAGTTGGATTGATGAGAAATCCAAGCCGCACAGGAAAGATAGGACGCGTCCGAGGTCACAGAGCTGGCGAAGCGGCCAAGACAAAAACAAATTCAGGGGCCTTAGTCCCAGATCCCCACGCCCTCGTGACACGGACATCCTGGGGAGGACCCCGAGGGGGAAAGGGCTGTCATTAGGCCCCTGGGAACGGGGACGCCCTGCCTCCTCCCTCTGGTGGCTTGGGAGACGATGGCCACCGAGGCAGGTCCAGGGGACTGAGGGGAAAGAGGCTGAGAGCTCCAAGCATCCCAGCTGAGGGGGAGCCACAGCTCTAGGGACAGGCAGACGGGTCCACACCCAGCTCTTCTGTTCCTAGCTGCGTGGCTCCCCTTAGAAAGTGGGGCCCAAAATGCCCGCCCCAACGGCTGGGTGGGAGGATTCGATAAGATTGTGCTTGGCACAAGCTCCCAAAGTGGTGGGTGATGACTGGGGTTCCCTCCTCAGCTGGACCGTGGAAACGCTCACTGGCTCCTCCCCCAAGCAAGTGCCCGAAGAAGACATCACCCGTGGCTGGGGAATCCCGCCAGCCCACTGTGCGTATCGCTCACAAGCTGCTCATAGCCCGGGAAATGGCCAGAAAGCTCTGTCTACAGTGAACAGAAGCTGGTCCCACGTCTTCCGAAGCCAGGGAGTGTCCAGAGGGGCAGGAAAGGGAACTACGACGGGCCCCTGGCCCCTGGCCCCTGGTGGGGCAAGGGCAAGGTGTTGGGTGTGGGAGGTGCCGGCAGCCCTGTGGGCAGAGAATGGAGGCCGGAGGAGGCCAGAGGATGCAAGGGGAAGGGGCAGGCGGTGGGTCCTGGTGAGAGCCCAGGTCTGACCTCACACCAGGTGGCCCCAGGCTGGACGCTGCCCGCCCTTCTCCACACCGTAGCCAGAGCAGTCCCTTTAAGGGGTATCACATGGAGCATCTGGTCTCACTCCGATGAAGAGCTCTGGGCATGCCCCGAGACCCTCGAAAGCTCTGTCCCCGCCCCTGTTCACTCTGCAGCAGCCCCTCTGGCCCCTCCTTATTCTATGACAGACCACCAGGTCTTAGCACTCTCTGTTCCCTCTGCCTGGAATGCTTTTCCCCTCAGTGTTTGCATGGTCCCCCCTCCAGAGGCTTTGCCCGACCACCCTATCTAACATTGGAGCCCCATTATCCTCTATCCCCTCATCCTATTTTATTTTCCTTATGATTGACTGCCATTTGCCATTAGATTTTATAACTATTTGGTTTATTATTGCTCTTTCCCGAGAAAATGTATGACCACAACGGCAGGGGCTCTGCTCAGGTCACTGCTGTACCTGCAACCCCTGGAATAGCATGTGGCACAGAGTAACACATTTATTGGACGAATGAATGGACGATTGATGGAATTCTGGATCTGCTATTTTCCAATTTGGATTATCTTGGGCAGGTCATGTCACTTCACCAAAACTTCCAAACAGAGCACGCACCCAGCTCATAGGGTTACTGTTTAAATGGAATTAGTAGAATGTGAATGGAACTAACACATACTAGGTTCTCAGTAAACAACCACCACAATCACTGTTGTCATCACCAAGGGTCCCAGGCTCAGTCTCTTGCTTATGGAGACCGTGGCACCGCAATGATCTCTCTGAGCCGCTGTGTTCATTGGCCAGACGTGGAGGCCAGGAGTCCCTGCGTCCCACACAGGGAGGTCTGGTGGGCATCCAGGCTTGCATGTGAGGCACCCAGCAGGGGGCTGACACCCAGGAGGCACTGACCAAGTGGTACCTCCTAGAGTCCTGAGAGTCTAGGATTTGGATACCGGCCCCACCACGTTCTCATTCTGTCATCTTGGGAAAGCGACTTAACGTTTCTGAGTTCAGTCCCGTCTATGAAACCGGGATAATGACAGAACCTTCCTCACAGGCTGTCCTGAGGTCACGAGGAGGTTGTGCACCTGAAGCCCTAAGGAGATGGGCCGGGACAGGCAGAAGCGTGAGCCACGACACGTGGGACGGGGCCGGGGACGAAGAGAGACACTCGGTGCAGAGTCAGGACAGAGCCAGCGGGTGAGCTCCGCCTATGCTGCGAGGTGGGCGTGGGCTGCAGAGGGAACACAGCTCAGAGGCAGGCAAGCCCCCCACAGCCAGGAACCCCCTGCAGAGAAGGTACTCATACCCCCCGTCCTGCCCCCTCCTCTCTGCACAGGGCTTCATGGGAGACCTCTCCTGGCCGGGAGGCAGGTGACCCCAGCAGGACCCACCTCAGCCAATCTCCTGCCCAGTCTGCTCACCAGCCTCTCCCTAAGCTCCTGGAGAGCCTGGGAAGACCTAGAACAGGCCCTGGGAGTCGACGAGGCCAGACAGACTCCTTGTGCTCCAGCCCGTGAGGGTCCAAGGAGGGAAACACCAGGCCCCCACTGACCTGCCCTCTGACTCCTCCACCACCAGGCGGAGGAGAGCGGGGCCGCCCTGCCTTGTTCAGCCAGAGTGGACCCCACAAATGACTCGCTGAGTAATCCCTGCCCTGCAAGCTCCATGAGGCATGATTTTTATTTTTTGTCTGTTTGGGTCTTTGATGAATTCCCAGGACCTAAAAGAGTGCCTGGCACTTACTGAGGACTTAGGAGATACATACTGAGTAAATGAATCCATAGATCAATGAATGAAGCGATGAATTATGATAAGTAAAAGTTCCCTGAGGGCTGGGATGTTTTTCTTGTGTTCTTTGATAAATCCCCAGGGCCTCAAATACAGCCTTGGCACATCAGAGATGCTGAGTAAATGGTGTGAGAGTATCTGTAGGCGACCGTACAACTGAGTCAATCATCGAACCAATGGCTCATCAGAATGTAATCTCGCTGAAGGCCAGGATTGCCATCTGCTATGTTTAAGGCTGCGTTCTCAGTGCCAGGAGCATAGCAGGTGTTGAATAAATCAGTGAATGAATGAATGAGTGAATGAATGAATGAGCAAGGCCCCAGCTCTCCGTGCAAAGACCACAGACCCAGAAGAACGAAACACAAGAGGGCTGCCCTGCCCTGCCCTGCCCCCCGGCCACCACTCAATGCCTCGTGGTTTGTTTTTTTTAAATAATTTGTCGATTGTTTTTAATGGTTGAGGCAGTAATACTTGGTTCATGAAACTGCAATATACAGAGAGGTGAAATAAATAGCTTATATATATATAATATATATAATATAGCTGGTTTTAAAATATTCCCTTATCATTGGTGTGCTAGGTCACGTGGGTCACGGAAGGTCCATAGCAGCATCCTGCAGGCTGCGAGCAAGGCAGGGTCACCGTGATTGGACGAGGCCGTCTGTCGTCGGAGGTCGAGGCGCCGAGAATTCCGAGGGGCACGCCTTCCCTGCGCGGTGTCTCGGGACAGCTTGCAGCGGACAATAAATAAATGACTGCAAACCAGAGAGCGATTTTTGTTGGAGTTTGGGGCAAGGACAGGAGATTGGAAAAGAGGGGGAGTTCTTTGTGGGGGGCGGGGGGTGGTTGACTACTTTTTTTTTTTTTGCTTTTTTTTCTTTTGCTTTCAGAGCCTTTGGGAAAAAGGACTTTGGTTTCTCAGAGTGTCGTTTTCCTCATTCAAGTCCTCCTCCGGGGACGCGTTTAGAGTTGTCTGTTCTGAGAGAGACAAGCACCTGTGCGCTGACAACAGTCCCTTTGCGTGACGTGAGTCTTTGTCATCGGCGGGGGGTGGGGATGGGGGGGGCGGGGGGGTTCAAGTCAACAATCCTTATCGTCCCCCCTTCCTCCCCCACCACCACAAGAGTTTTGGTTCAGTTTTTGTCTTCTTTGAAACACAATGTACAAAAATAGAGCTTCTTCCTTCTTTTTCATGTAAAAATATTCCTCTGGTGCAGTCCGCTGTGCCTCTAGCCGGGGTGCGTGGGGCGGATGCGCCGGGACCGCTTGGTCACCGTGGTGTACTTGAAGGGCTTCTGCAGCTCCGCCTGCCCCTTGGGGTAGCGCTTCATGAAGTGCACGTCCTGCTGGTTCTCCCGGGTCTTGGGGCCCTTCCGCGGCCGCCCCTTCTTGGTGAAGCCCACATACCAGCCGGAGTACTTGGCCGACATCAGGGCCGTGTAGTTGTTCTCCAGGACCTTCTCGATGAACACGCACTCCTTACTGGTGCCGTCGGGCTGCGGGGGGAGAGAGGAGGAGGAGGGGAGGTGAGAACGGCAGGGCAGCTGCGCGGGGCAGCACAGGAGAGAGGGCCTCCCCCAAGCTTTGGCCTCGGCCATGCCACGCCCTGGATCTGTGAAGCGAACGTGTTGTATTGGCCCCGGTTACAATTACGTAACAGGCTCCCGTGATCATCCGGAAGTCCTTCCCTCCCCCACTCTCTGCCCTGCAGCCAGGAGCCCCCACCTCCACTCGACTAGAGCAAGAAACCCAGACGTAGCCGATCAAAACATGATTTCCTGGGGCTAGTGCAGGGCCGGCCATGGGGTCAGGGCCATCCAATCCGTGTTCCTCGAGACCCCTGCACGAGCCATGGCTAAAAACATAGGCTGCCGTAAACTCGGGGAACACGTAAGGCTGAAGCGAAGGCCACAATTTGGTCACCACGAGGGGAAATCCTATGGGACAGCAAAGCCAGCATGGAGGAAGCCAAGTCCAGAGCAAGAGAATGAGAGCAACCAAGCCCTGGCCACATCCTTCAGCTTCTGCACCAGGCTGCCCCGACGCTCCAGTTACCACGGCAACGTGGGCCAGTTTATCCCGTGTCCTCTGAACCACTGAGACTGTTCTAGCACCTGCAAGAGGGGCGAGTCCCGGCAGGTGTGCACGAAACCTGACATGAAGTCAGCTACTCGACTGCCGCTCGACGCCACTGCTACCGTTAAAGATCAGTTACGTTTAATGTGGCGTGTGCTGCATTTCCATGTTTGGTGTAAACAGCCTCCCAGAATTAGAGCTTTAGCGTGGCCAGACTCCGGAGCCTGTCGCCTGGCTTCGGAGACACCCAGCTCCCGAGCAGACGCGTGGCCTCCCTGGGAGACCGTGCGGGGCGAGCGGCACGAGATTCGGACTCAGGAGCCGAGTCAACTCTAAGGCTTCCTTGTGCGACCTCAGGTTCGTTCATTCCGCTCCAAACCTCGATTCCTGGCCTCACCAAACAGGGACGGGGACCCCTGTGTCATAGAAACGTGAGGAACGGTGCTCATCTGAGCCTGGCGCACAGGAGGGGCCTGCTAAATTATGGCTGGAGACCAGGTGGTTCGCTGGTCTGGCTGCCCTCCTGGGGCCTGGTCTGGACAGAAGGTGGTGGGTGGCAGGCTCCAAGTCTCCACCCGCGGCAGCCGAGGTGCTCGAAGTGGGAGAGTGGGAAACACAGAGCTGGAAGCCTGAATTAGCAGCCTGGAGTTTCCAGCGAACATCTCCAAATGCGGGCCGGGCCCACTCCTCGTTACGGACGGGTGCCGGGCCAAGTTGGAAGCCGCGCGGCTGGCTGTGCGCGGAGACGGAGGTGCGAGCTCCAGCCTTTTGTTTGAAGTGGAAAACAGGCTGGGGCTTCCAGGAACGTTCACCTTTGAGCGGAGGGCAAGCTTGGGCTCTGCAAAGTGCTGAACTTTGCAGAAAGGGACAGGCAGGGCAAGAAAACATTCTCTGGAGGGTGCGATCTTTCGAGGAGGCTGCCGAGCCGGCCGGGGCGGGGCGGGGAGACACACGCAGGACCCAGGAGACAGGAGGGCGGGTTGAGCAGTGCGGGAAGCCAGAGCACATGTGCAAGGGGGTGGGGGGAGATGGGAGTGGTCTCTGGGCTCTGAGTCCCCATGAATAATTCTGGAAGCTGCCTGTCCAACCTGCGTCCAGGTCCCTTGGCCGGTCTCGATGGAACAATCAGAGCAAATGAACAAAAGCCACGCCATGCTGCTTCCCCACCCTAGAAAGCCTGCCTGGAGCATGGCTTTCGTTCTTCAAGGCTCAGTGCAGTAGCTGCCTCCTCGAGGAAGCCTTCCCTGACTGCCACCTACCGCCCTGGGTATTTCTGCCTCTTCCTTCAAGATTCCACTCACGCATCAAGCTATATTGGATTCAAATACTCCATCTTCTAGACCAGCCTTGGCACCCATTTCTCCTCCTACCCCCCACCCAACAGAGTGATTCCATATCTGCCTGCCCATCAGCCCAAGAGCATCAGGAGGGCGGGACTGCTTCTTGGCTATTCTCATGGCTCAGCACAGGCCGTAACCCCAGACGGGGCTGCCCAGCGCTCTCGTGGTTGAATGGATGTGAGTTCTGCTGGGGTAGACATGATGGGAGCAACACAGGGAAAGGGTTTCCCTCCGAAAGAAAATAGACTCGGCCTCCTGGCTCCCTTGCTAATGTCCCCCAGATAGTCATGAGCTAGGAGAGGCCCATCATGGGGATGTAGGGACAGAGCCAGCAGAAGAATAGAGCTCTGTGCCTGGCCCACTCCATCTCCCTACGCATTCATTCAGCATTTATTCATTGTCAACCATAGGCCAGACAGTTCCACACCCAACACTTCATTTAATCCTCTTAACCCACCGAGGTAGACTCTGCCTGGTGGAAGGAAACAGAGTTCAAAGAGGCAAAAGGGCTTATCCAAGGTCGTGGGATTTGAACCTGCATTTGCCACTGCCGCTCGCTTCTCCTCCGTCCAGTTCCAGACACACCCACAAGAGAGAAGGCATGGCAGCATGGGCACTGCCATCAAAACACCTCCCCTCCCCAGGCCCACACAGCCACATCAGCATGAAGCAAGCTCTAGGAGGTGCAGAGCCTGGCACATGTACTCACACACGCCTGGGTTTGCTTAGAGTAGTGGATCTCAACCTTCTGGCCCTTTAAATACAGTTCCTCATGTTGTGACCCAACCATAAAATTATTTTCGTTGCTACTTCATAACTGTAATGTTGCTACTGTTATGAATCGTCATGTAAACATCTGATATGCAGGATGGTCTTAGGCGACCCCTGTGAAAGGGTCTTTCGACCGCCAAAGGGGTCACGACCCACAGGTTGAGAACCGCTGGCTTAGAGGGTTGGGGAGCTGGACTTGGGGCTGAAATTCTCAACACCCCCGAGTTTGGGAGCCCCTGGGAGTGGCCATGGGCCTGTGGTGGTCACATGCTCCCCACCAGGAACTCAGACACAGAGGATAAGACGCCCACGCAGCTGCGCCTGGGCTGGACCTCGCCCCGCCCCTGATGACCTCTGTGGCCCCCTGTTGCCTGCTGAGGTTCAGAGACCCCTGTGGCTGGGCTCACCCCAGCAATGCTGACTCCACTGGCTCAGACAAGGCACATCAGCAGGATTTCGGGGATCTGGAATTTGATCGTCTCCCCCACTGCCACTTCCAGCCTCCTTCTGCCCAAACTGGAGTCCCGTTCCTTCCATTTGATGTGAATCCTGATGACGTCATTTGGCCCCTAGACCCAGTCTTATTTGAAACTAGAACAAGCCTCTGGATGTTTTCGGTTACACAGGCAGAATTTTCCTTTTGTCGCTTAAGGCAGTTTGAATTGGGTTTCGGTCACAACCAAAGCAGTCTTCACAGAGATGTGGTGGTGGGCAGGGACCATCCTCCCACCCCCGCCTCCCCCAGTCTGGGGGCCTATGCTGCCCCAAAGAGGGATCACACAGGAGGGGAGAGAGGAGGAAAAAAACACCTTTTTTTTTTCTCATCTGTCTCCAGAGATGGGGGGGCGGGGGGGGAAAGCCTAGTACATAATGCACCACACTCAACAACTATTTATGGAATGAAAGGAAGCAGACCTCCTGGGCCAGATGGATGTGGGGTCCAGGGGAGGAGGGGAGGGGCTGCCTGAGCAGGCAGGGGCTGGGGCAGGGCTTGGGCACATGGCTGGTACAAGGCAGCAGAGAGAGCAGCGACAGCCAAGGGCCTGGAGTACCCGAAAGGCTGGGTTAGGGGCCCAATGATGTGCCCAGCTGTGGCCAGGCTGGCACCCAGGGTCAGGACGGCCCAAGAAAGCTGTCCTATTGAGCCATTGCAAAGGAGCCAGAGCCCATGCTGAGGCCCAGGTGCCCACAGGCGAAGGAGTGACTGAGTGATCTGGTTTCCGAGTTTCCGAGGGGAAGGGAACTAACATTTAACAAGTCAATGCCTCGAAGTGCCAGCATGATCATCCCATTTCACAGGTGAGGACACTGAGGCTCAGCCAGGTCCGGGCACGTGGACTCCCTGGCCAGATGTGGGTAACTCTGGCTACAGGGTAAGAGTCAGTCCTCAGAAAGCAATAACCATACTTCCATTTCTCTGGTGCCCGTGCGGACTTTGGGGCAGGTTAATGGAACCCAGAGGGGAGGATCCAGAATGGGCCCTCGGAGGAGTGTAGGTCTGAAGACGCTCCCAGGTGAGCAGATAAGCAACAGAGGGCTGGGGGGGGGGGGGGGGGTGGCTGTGGGCTCCCAGGTGGGCGGGTGACGGAGGGGTCAGCGAAGCTAGAGGCTGCTGGGGATGAGCCAGGACGCAGGGCAGAGGGAAAGGCAGCCCCAGAAGAGGGCACCGCGTGTACAGAGCCTGAGGGGGTGGAGGCTGGCAGAGCCCTGCCCGTTGCATGTGTCTGAGGTCCGGGAGCCTCCCCAGGGAGTGTGGCCCTTCTCCAGTGGGTGGTGAGGACACAGGGACAGGTTCTGAACTGGGCTGGGCTGGAGGGCAGGGGAGACCGACCCCTGGTGCTTTAGAAAGCGGAGGGTGGGCAGTGGGGACAGGCCTGGCGCTGCAGCCTGAGCTGGGACCTCAGGGAGAGCTGGGGTAAGGTCTGAGGCCAGGCGGAGGCCTGGCTAGGGAAGGAGAGTGCAGGGCCTAAGGCCTGGCTGGCCAGGGAGTCAGACAGCAGAACAGCAAACCGCAGCCCCGGGCCCAGGGTTTCCCTGTGGGAGCCAGAGAGAGTGAGGGGGCGCCGGGCTGGGCCGAGGCCAACAGGGGGACCTGCCCCTGGCAAAGTCGGGACAGGTGGATTTGGGGGCGCCCTTGGAGCCCCCCAGGCCAGCCCAGAAGACAGAAGCCTGGAAGGAGATGATGGGGAGCCCAGCGAGGGGCGGTCCTCCTGGACCTTGCTGAGCTCCCTCGCCTCCAGCTGAACCGTCCCCAATATTAATGACGGGAGAGGGAGAGGGGGCAGGAAATCGGAGCCGGCTCCTGTGGAAGCGGTGACTCAGCGGCCAGCCGGTGGGCGGGCGGGCGAGGGCGGCGGAACGGCCCAAGGGGACGGGGCTGCTCTTTTGACCCCACGAGGGCCCTCCTGGGGTCAAGATGCCGGGAACCACGCAGACGGGAGGGAGGGGCGCGCGGGCACTGGGCACGGCAGGCCCCGCGCACCCCTCCTTCCGAGAGGGAAGGAAAGAAGGCCGAGCCAGAGAGAAGGCCGAGCCGAGCCTCCGGCTGACGGCGAGCAGGTCGGGCCTGGGAGGCAGCCCGGGCAGGCGGCCGGGAGAACAAAGCGCCCCAGAGGGGCCGCCGCCCCTGCCCCGGGCCCCTGCCCCGGACCCCTCGCTCCGGGCCACCGGCCTCCCGACATGGAAAGTGAATCACTGATTGAAGCCATAGGCGTCCCTGAGCCGCGGTTACTATTACTCTGTCTGCCCTTTGGGCAGCTGTAGTGGGTGTGGGCAGCGCGGCTGGAATCTCTGCCTCCGAACTGGGCCCCGCATCCCGCCCAGCTCTAGGGAGGGCCCTGGGGCCTGGGCCTGGGGCCCCTGTCGCATCTGCGAAGCGGGGGTGGCAGGGATCTTGGGCAGCGCGCCTGCTCGGTGCCTGGCAGGAAGCAGGTGCTCAGTGAAGGGCGCTGCCGGCACCGCTACTATTAACAACAAGCACAATGCCTGGGCTCTGCCCCTGGCCTGTGACCTGTCCCCGGCCGCCTGGGTATGGTGGACAGCAAGAGGGATGAGTGGGGAGACTCAGGAAATAAAAAACATGGCTTAGGGCTGGGCTGGGCTAGGAGGAGTCAATGGGGGAGGGACGGGAGGGGGAGCCATATGGAATACTTTCAACAATAAAGGTTTTTTAAATAAATAAGTAAATAAATAAATGCATGGCTTATACAAGGCTTGGGTAACCCCCAACTAGGTGTAATGAATGTAAATAATCAGCCAGGGCCCCGCCCTCAAGCAGGGGACGCCATCCTCCTTGGCATCTGGGCCCACTCTCCACCGCACCCCCACTCCACCTGCAGCAGAAGACCCCCCATTATCCCAGCTGGACACCGGGGGAAGGAGGGTCCCTGCAGGCGTGATCGCACACGGAGGTCCTGCCCGTCACTCCTCCCCTGAACGCCCACAGGCCGCAGGCGTGTGAGCGTCACACACCAGCTCAGCCAGAGGAAAGGGGGGACCCTGAGAAGCGGCATCGGTGGCGGCTCAGAGGCCTGGCACGTGGGTCCACCGGCCGCACCCCCACCCCTGCCCTAATTTGTTACATGCGGCTCTCTTGCCCGTTCCAAAGTAATAAAATCTCCCTGAAATGCTAGAACCGTGAGGCCCGGCGCTGACGCGGCGGCTGGGTTCCGGAGCCTGGCGATTGTTAAAACATCGCTGCAGCCCAGCCCTGGGCCGGCCACCGCAGCTTCCCTGTGCCCAGACAGCAGGTACCTGCAGGCAGGGACTCACCCCCCTCTCCAGCCAGAGCTCCCCAGCCCCCAGGAGAGATCGGGCCCTGCGTTCCCCCCAAAGTCGCAGCCTCAGATACTGCCTGAGTGGGGCAGGAAAGGGGGGAGGGGGAAAGGAGGGATGGTAAGGGGAGTTTCACCCACACTCACCGGGGCCTGTCTCCATCTGGGGCACCATGGCCTTGGCACCCCGTTCCAGCTGCCCAGAGCTGCAGGGAGGACCCGCCCCAATGCCCGGAATTCCGGCCATCACTCACCTTCCCCACCAGCTTGCCTTTCCGGTTCATGCACAGGTAGAACTCCGTCTCCTTGCCCTTGATCCGGACTTGACTGCCGAAGGTATCTGTCTCCACTAGGAGCTGGGCTTGGAAAGGCAGAAGCAGAAAAGGGACACGTTTTTTTACCAGGGCAAAGGCTTGGCCTAAAGACTCAGCGGCAGGATCCCTGACCCCATCCTGGACCCCCACATCCCTGAAACCAGGCCTGGGAGAGGCTTCTGCCGCGTCCCACTCGAGCACCCTCCAGGCAGGGAGAGGGAGCCGTTCCCACTCGCTCCCCACCCCCAGCCTCTCTCGATTCCACTTGGGACCCAGATGGCTCCAGCGAGTGGGGATTCTGTCCCTTGTGGCTAAATACCAGGGTGTCTTCTCCCCTCGTTACCCAGCTCCCCCAGCCCCTCGGCTCCATTCCCCAAAGCAGGGCAGAGAGCTATACACATAACCCCACACATCAGCAGTAGCAGTCTCTGCGATAAGGGCACAGACAAATGCATGTGAGTTCTCACAGCACACACACGCTCACGCACATGCACGCACTGCACACACACTGCACACGCACTGCACACACGCACACACCCTGCCCTGGGGGACAGCAGAGGTTCCTTCCTCCAGGGAAAACATGTGAGTGTCCCTCCTGCCTCCGCACCTTTGCCACGTGAAGTGGGGAAGGCCCAGGGAGCGGAGGCCGTCTACAGAATTCCACTTTCCTCAATCAAGGTCATCACCCAACTCCCAGGAGCCCAGACGTCCCAATCAGGACCAGTGCCCCCTGGTCCTGAGTAGGAGACCGCACCCTACACCACCCATGCTCCTCAGGGTGGGGGTCTCCAGAGCTGATCCCCCCAACGCCTTGAAGGTCAAAGGCTCAAAGGCGAACTGCCCCTTGGTAGGCCTGCTGTGTCCAGACCCCTCCCCGCCCTCTGCCAGTCCGTTTCCTCCCCGTAGTGTCCTGTGTGACGTCGGGAGGCCACGCACACTCTCTGAGCACTCTCTCCTCTCCGTCCCGAATCCCCTGCTGCCCCCTCCTTGCCTTCTCTGCCTGTGACCCTCCCATCCTCACCCTCCCTTCTCTGACCCTTTGCTTCCCAGCACCTGCCCCTCCCTCAGCCACAAAATTTTAATTTCAGTGACAAGGGACTTGCTTCTCCATAACAAAAATCATAGCCCTCAGTACAGTATCCTTGGAGCCACAAAGAGCGGACCTCAGTGGCCCTAAAATACACGAGGTATGATTTTAATTAAAAAAAAATTAAAAATATATACCCTGGTGCCCTGCTGTGAAAATTAAAACCATCTGGAAAGCAGGATTTCCAATAATTAATCTAGCCCTCCTTTGACACCACTACTAATTAAAATATGATACCCCACCTTTCCACGGAAAAAAAGAAGAATTTACATAAAATTTAAAGATCTAACAAGAATTTAGTAATTCTAGAAACAAGGGGGAGGGCACATTCTTCTCTCCACCTTCCCCCATCCCTAGTAAACATCGAGTCAAGAACATTCCCCAACACAGAGATAGGGGTTGCAGGCCCTCGCTGCTCCCCAGTTCAAACGCCCGATAACTCTCCCTGGAAGCTCGGTCCCTGGGACCCAGGCCCAAACATGCCAGCAGCCCTGGGCCGGGCTCTCTGCCTCCCTCACAGCTCCTGGGACCTCAGACCCTCCTGGGGATGGGCTGTGGGATCAGGAGGGTCTGCGATCCCAGGAGCTTCGGAAGGAGGCAGCGTGTGTCAGGGAAGGTGAGAGCTTTGGAGAGCACAGACCTGAGTCTAAATCGCTGGCCCAATTGCATGACCTTGGGCCTCAGTTTCCCCGCCTGTAAAATGGGGGCAAGCATCCCTGATCTTCAATAGTTACTATGAGGACTACCCAGAACGATGCTGCAAAGGCCTGGCTCCTGTCCTCAGGGGCGGGGTGGGGGAAACTCGGTACCTGTTGTTCAAGTGTCCTAATAGCCGCAAAACAAAACTGTTTTCCCAGAAGAAAAATATACGCACATTGTGAAAAGCCAGGTGTGCGTGCGAAAGGGCGGAGGTGGACCACACCTGCCCCCCGCCTGAACTTCCTCAGCGGCCTCGGGGGTCGCCGGCACCCCACACATCAGACAAGGCCTCGGGCTGGGACTTAAGGGGTCTGATTCCCTTTCCGGTGTTGCCGTCCTGGGCCGCGTGACCTCCACCCCCTCCCTGTGAGCCTCCGTTTCCTCTCCTGTGCAAGGCGGGGGCTCAAACCCTATCCTGACTCTCGGAGACTGGGGGCAGGCTCTAGGGCAGGGGCAGGGACGGGACACTAGGAAGGAGATGAGGCCACAGAGCTGGGGCGCAGGCAACCAGAAGTGGCTCCCCGGGGGGACAGCTCCCACTGCTGCCCGATCTGGAGTCACACATCCCCACACGCCTGAGTATTCTGTCCCCATTTTATAGCGGAGAGAACTGAGGGCCGACTCCAGGTCTCCTGCCTCCTTCTGCTGGGGCCTGGGCTCCAGGGGAGGACCCAGCTCAGGGAGACTAGCTCCGAACGCAGCCCTCCCCCCCTCATCAGCCACAGCCCAGCCCACCGCAGGCAGCCCTGGCCTCTGCAGGAGCACCCGAAGGGCCTGGGGCTGGGGCTGGACTGCACCTCCCTCCCCCACACCCCAGTGTGGGAAGGGTCTGTGCCGGCCGCCGGGCCAGGGGAGCCAGAAGTCTGTTCTCCCCCAACCGCAGCAAGCCCTGGACTGGCCTAGACTCCACTGGGCGCGCATGACATAATGAGGAGGGAGCCGGGCCAGAATTATGTAAAGTCTTTAGGGAGTAATAGCAGCAGCAGTTCTCAGAAGGAGAGAGAGAGGGGGGAAGAGAGAGACCCCACCCACCCAGGCCAGGTTTTCCCCAGAGCCTGCCTGGTCTTCCGCGTCAACGCCCCTCCCTCCATGACCCAAGCCCCAAGCCCCAAGGCCCAAGTGCAGCTGGACGGGACCCCTCCTCGCCACTCAGTTCTGTTCTCAGGCCTGTACCAGGCCAGGCAGGAGGAGGCGATGACATTCTCTCACCCCCCTCCTCGTCAGACCTCCTCAGCACCCTGGCAGCCCCTCCAGTCTTCACAATTCAACAGCCTCCTCCCTCTGCCACTCCTGCCCTCACCAGTCTCCCCCTCCACGCCTCCGCCAGGGGGATTCTTGCTGAAAGGCCCCCCGGGGAGTCTCCGAGCCACTGAAAATCCAGCCCCTTTACCGGGACCCACAAGGGTGCGTGATCTGGTGCCTGCTGGCCATCCCACCTCCTGCCCCTCCCCACAGCCCTCCAGCCAGCCAGCCCCCTTGCTGCTCCTCTCGAACACATCCCGCACACTGGAGCCTCAGGACCTTTGCACTGGCTGTTCCCTCTCACTGGAGAATGCTTTGCCCAGAGCTTCCCCTAGTGACTTATCGCAAGTGTCACCTCCTCAGAGAAGCCTCCTGGCCATGCTGTCCAATGTCTTACTAGCCTCCCCCAGCCAGCACCCCACCCCCTGCTCCACTGTCCTCAGAGCTCTTCTCCAATTGTCTTATTTGCTACCGTTTTTATTGTCTGTCTCTCTTCACCAGAGGTGCGCTCCATGCTGGCAGGACCTGACCTGTCTTATTCGCCGCTGTGATCTCCATCCAGCACTAGCCCATCCCGGGCTCCCAGTAAATGACCAATCAGTCAAGTTTACTAAATGCATCAATTCGCTTGAGAGGGAGGAATGAGTAACATGAAGAACATGAGATTCAGGGAGGTGAAGAGACGTGCCCCAAGGCACAGCTGGTCAGAGCAGGGCAGAGGTTCGGCCCCAGGCTCTGATTCCACAGCCACTACCCATAGCCCCTCCCCTCCCCACCAGTGGGGTCTCTCCCGCCACTCCCTGGTCTCTGAGCTTCCACCCACCCATCCCCAGCCTCGGGGCGACCATCACATATTCTGACTTGCTGTGTGACAAAAGGAAGCACCCTGTCCCTCTCTAGGCCAGGACTAGGTGACCTGCAAGGCCCTGTTCCATTCTGCCTCCCTAGGAAGTGTCAGTAACTTCCATTCATTTAGAGCTTATGATGTGCTGGGCGCTATTCTAACAACCTACCATGCATTGTCTCACTTAATCCTCACAACCATCCCATGAGGTTAGAACTATTATTATCATCCCCATTTTACAGGTCCGATAATTGAGTCCCAAGGTCACACAGTGATGCAGTTCAAACCCAGACAGGACTCAAACCCAGGCTGACCAACCCAGAAGTCTTAGTCTCAGCCCGTCTACCCACCCCTCACTGCTCCCCAACACCAGCCCCTTTTCTGGGGAATGAGTGCGTGCACACCAAAGGTGGGCAGCGAAGGTCTTCACCATGACCTCACTTTCTGAGGGCAGAGGTCTAGGGGCAGAGAAGCCCACACAGCCAAAGGTCAGGGCCCACCCCTCCCAGCTCCACTTCCAAATGCCCTTGAGGAAGGAGGGGTCCCCCAGAGGGTCACCTTCAAGCTGATACTGGAAGGTGGGGAGCCCTAAGGAGCACCCAAGGCTCAAACCACAGCGAAAGGGGCAGAAATGCCAGATCTGGTCAAGGGAGTGAGTACGGGATAGGGAACCCCGTGACCCAGGCCCCTGAAAGGAAACAGAGTCCGTCTCAGCAGGCTCCGCACAGAGCGGGAGCCCAGCACCTGCCTATGGCTGGGCCCAGGAGCTCCCAGGCCGGCAGCATCCAGAGAGGAAAGCAGAAAAGGGAAAAGAGTGAGAGAAAAAGGAACTGGCCAGAAAGCCCTTCTATAAACACATGCTGCCCCCCCCCCACCCCACCCCTGATGCGACCCCCGTTTCTCCGAAGTGGATGGCGTAACAATGGTAATTTTTTAAACAGCAGCTAATACTTACTTAAGCATTTACCCTCTGCTGGGCACTGTGCTTGGAGTCTGACTGTGGGATGTCTCACTAGCTCCTCACAACCCTAAGAGGAAGGCCCTGTATGTCCCTTTTACAAATGAAAAAACTTAGGCACCGAGCAGTGAAGCTCCTTGCCAGAGTCACACAGTAGGGCCAGGATTTGACACAGGCAGAGTATTAACTCCAGAGCTAGTCGGAGACAGACAGAGCC